TCTGTCACTTTTAAATTAGGGATGGCTAGCACAGATAACCTCCAAGTAGTTCTGTGTTAAATTTGAAAAAGAGATAATGACGGAGTATGTCTGTGTGTATAGTGTTCATTTTATTAACTTTTATACATACTGTTCATTTAATAACTTCATAGTCATAACCTGAAACATCAGCTTTAGAATTATGTAACTGAATTTTTATGAATCAAAAAGACTTAGTGTCTAAGATATGTTTCAACTTTTCAGCAACCAATAGGTATAAATAATTGTGTACTTAAGTGGTTTGTTGTGAAAAATCAACATTATACCATCACTCATGTTAGGTAAATAAATAGGGTTATCAGCTTGTGGAGTTTATGATTGTCATGCTATTTCAAGATTGTGAGACAACTTACTTACATAAGACTGACCTTTGATAGGTAATGACATGAGTAGAGGAGAAATTATATGCTTTAATAGGTGTGGGTGTAGACTTGTACAGTTCAAACTTCAAGAGGGTTATCTTGTTTATATTATTCACTGACATTTTAAAGAGCTTATTTTTGAGTTTCAGTGTTTTCTAGAGATAGTTGATCATCTTAATGGCAATTTAAAAGAACACTAATGTATTGTAGTACTTCTATTAAGTTAAGCAACTTTAGTAGGTTCTAATGAATATTGTAATTTTGTATTCTTAAGTAATTGTTGGTTTTGGAAAATATATAATTCTCTTGTAGAAAATCCTTGAAAAGTCTGGGAACTTTGGTCAAATATATGAACTCTAGAAACCTAACATATTACATACTCTAAAGTTATACATTCAGTAGTTGATGATGGTTATAAAGAAGAATGATGTGTTAAACTGCACTCACAAGTTAGGGATTTAGTAGTTATGGTGATATAAAAACTTGATGTAAAGATCTCTCAAACAAAAATCTTTAAATATTTAGTGATGTGACATACTACACTTTATAAGACAGATGTTCTGTAACTGATAATGTTAAAGTAGTAACTGGACACAACAGAGTACACTTTCAAAAGAAAGGTGTTCAGTAATTGATAAAGGAGACATGGTAACTAGACACAATGGACTAAACTCTCAAAGGACAGGTGTTCTGTAACTGATAATGTTAAAGTAGTAACTGGACACAACAGAGTACACTTTCAAAGGACAGGTGGTCAGTAATAGATAAAGGAGATACAACTGGACACAACAGAATGCACTTTCAATAAGCGGGTATTCAGTAATTGATAGTGATAATGCAGTAACTGGACACAGCAGAGTACACTCTCAAAGGACAGGTGTTCAGTAACTAATAATGGTGATGTAGTAACTGGACATAACATAATGCACTCTCAAAGGACAGGCATTCAGTAATTTTCAGTTATAATGTAGAAACTTGAAATGATAGAATACAGTTTTAAAATGTAGGCATTTACTAGTTGATAATGGTTATATAACACTTGAACATGTCAGAATCCAGTCTCTAAAGATGAGTATTAATTTGTTAATAATGATGGTGTAGAGATTTAACATAAGACACAAATAAAGTAATTTTTCAGCAGTCAATAATAGTGATGTTTATTCATAAAAGGTAGGTATTCAGTAGTTCATAATTTGGACCTATAAACTTCAGGTAGGCATTCATTAAAGTATAGAAACTTAATATGAAAGATAGGATTTCCAGTGGTTGATTATGGTTTAGAAATTTTCCATGAAATATTTTAGTTGCTTAAGGTGGAAGATTTCAGCTTCAAAAGTTTTAGGTGTTCACTAGGTGAAGTTATTGTAGTTGCTTGAGATAAAAGAATTCAGTTTCTAAAAGTTAGATGTTCAGTATTTGAAGTTATTATTGTTGCTGAAGACGAAATATTTCATTTTCAAAAGGTTAAATGTTCAGTAATTGAAATTATTTTGGATTCTTCCATTGAAAGAGTTCAGCTTCAATAAGTTAGGTGTTCAGTAGTTGAAGTTATCGTAAGTACTTGAGATGAAAGATTCCAGTTTCAAAAATTAGGTGTTCATTAGCTGAAGCTATGAAAGACTTCAGTTTCAAAAATTAGGTGTTCATTAGCTGAAGCTATGAAAGACTTCAGTTTCAAAAATTAGGTGTTCATTAGCTGAAGCTATGAAAGACTTCAGTTTCAAAAATTAGGTGTTCATTAGCTGAAGCTATGAAAGACTTCAGTTTCAAAAATTAGGTGTTCATTAGCTGAAGCTATGAAAGACTTCAGTTTCAAAAAGTTAAATGTTATATAGTTGCTTGAGATGAAATATTTCAGTTTCAGTAATTTCGATGTTCACTAGCTGAAGTTAATGTGTATGGTTGAGAAAAGATTTCATGTAAAATAAAATTGTGTACTGTAGTTGCTTGAGATGAAAAACTTAAATTTCAATACAATATCTTACCTCTTTTCACAAAAAGCTTTTCTCAACTGATACTGCACTCTATTGGCTCAAGTTTTCACTTGCCACTCGCCTTGATACTCTCACTTACCCTCACGTATGTTAAAGTGGGATATCTGCATACTAACATGCAAATGATTATACAGCGACCCTCCACCAATAGGAGTGTAATACTACCCCTATCATAACTAGAGCTCTTTCTAATCTTGCAGCTGTTAACCACTTTGAGATTGGTCAGATCAAACCAAACCACACTGGAAGTGGGAAGGATGGGTGGGAAATGTGAGAGGAGGTAACTTTATATATCGGAAATTTATTTTCAGTTTAGGAAAATGTTAACTTTTGATACGGTATCTTACATCAGCTCACAAAAAAGCTAGAATCCCACATTGAACATGTGGAGCCTGGATTCTGGCCCCTATCAGCCCTGACCCTAGAACATAGTCCCTGAAGTGTAAGGGCAAGACACAGGATGGGAATGGGTTGGTGGAATAAATGAGAGGCTAAAGATGATACAGAGATATGCAGATGGGTTGACTAAACCATCATCTCCAGTGAGTTAGGAATACTACAAGCACCTCTTGATGCTAAAAAAGGTGCCATGAGGAAGTCATGCAATGAGATGGGAGGTAAACAAATCCTAGATGAAACGATGTCTGTACCTAGAATGTCCCCACAATAGAGTAGCCACGTCTCTAATGCAAGGGCCAAAGAGGAAAGACATGCCCTGGTAGCAAAAAGGAGATTCTGAGTTTCATCTGAAAACCCTTCAGGGGAACGATGAACAGCCTGAGACAAAAGGTGAAGGGAGGATATGGAATGTAGAAGGGTGGTCAGGGTAAGACGAATACAACAAAACTGTGGTTGGGAAAATATAATCAAAGTATTGGGGTCCAATCCCCACAAAGGGATAAGCAACTCAAAACACTGTGGGTCTAAATAAGGGAAGTTGGAATGATGATAAGCAAAAGCATGATCGTCCATAGTGTGTGGGGGTAGAGGCATACTGACCCCCAAACATAGTTGCTCCCCAAAATGATTTGCATGAACTCCAATATCCAGGGAAGGAGGAAACACTAAATATTGACCCAAATGCTCATTCCCGAGAAGGGCGGAAGGTGGAACCATATGAAATGGGGGATAAGGACAGTAAATAACATACTAGATTAATCAATTCTATAAAAGGTGAAGGTGATCTGGGCAATTCCCCTGAAATGACACATAACTGAGAGGCATATTCAGGAGGGGGGAGGCTGTCCACATCCTCTACTTCCTAATCAATCAAACCCTGAGCAGGTATGATAGGACAGTGTATTCTGAATGTTGCATGAAATTGGTCAAATCCAGATGCACCAGAGCCATCACTTCATGGGCTGATAATCGTGGAAGTGATCAGTAAATTTGCTGCAGCAGTTGTAGTCATGACCATCTGAAACTACAAGTGCACAACTCTCAAAGTGAAGCAGGAGAGAGGAGGAAAAAAATCTTAACTCTTCACGTAGAACAAAAACAGGAAATAACAAAAGTAAATGATATAGAAAAGAAGTCTGAAAATTAAGAAGGTAAAAACTTTTGCATATGTTAACCTCGAATGAAAAACACGTCTACACAAGAAGACTGCCAGTTGAGAAGTGGTGAACAACTGCAAGATTAGAGAGGGTGCTAGTTATGATAGGGGTAGTATCACACTCCTGTTGGTGGAAGGTTGCTTTATAATCATTTGCATGTTAGTATGCAGATATCTCACATTAACATATGTGAGGGTATATGGGAGTATCAAAGCTAATGGCTGAAAATTTGTGCTGATAGAGGGCAGTATAAGTCAAGAAAAGCTTTTTGTGTGAGGGGGTATTTATTGGAAATATATTTTCAATTTAGGAAAATGTTAACTTTCAAAAAGTTAGGTGTTTAATAATTGAAATTATTTCAGGTGTTTGAGATGAAATAGTTCAGTTTCAATAAGCTAGATGTTAAGTAATTGAAATTATTGTACTTTCTTGAAGTGAAATATTTCATTTTCAAAAAGCTAGATGTTCAGTATCTTAAGTTATTGTAAATGCTTGAGATGAAAAATTTCATTTTCAGAAAGTGAGGTGTTTAGTACTTGTAATACCTAAGATAAAAGAGTTTTCAAAAATAGATAAATGGAATTTGATAATATACAAAAACCTGAAATAAAATATAACATTTGAAAGTTAACATTCAGCAGTTTATGCCATTGTAGAAATTTAATCTTGTTTCTTTTTTCATGATTTAAAAACTCAACTTGATACTTAATCTAGCAAAATTATACACTTCAATTATTGTATTTAGATTTTTATATATGAGTTCGAAATTTTAATTATTTACACAATAACTTAAATACTAAAGTTATTTGAAATTGAATATTGCATTTGTTATCTCTGAGCTTTGTAGAAGTTCTGGATTTTATAGATGCCTTTTTTGTTCCTTTTAACGAGTAATAACACAACCACAAATATAACATGAAATTTCAAGCCTACTTTGTTGAAACTTTACCAGAGAGAGAGTGACAGTAGTGTAAAATAATATACAGTATTTTTTGTTTTCACTAGGAGATAATATATACAATGTAATAATTATAAGTTATATGTGACAGAGGCTTCAAAACAGGACGTCTCTGTGTAGAGCTCTTATCTCAACCAGTGGGTTTACTGAGAGTCAAGAACACTGTTGTTGTGGGCTGTATGGATCAAACACTGAGCTGTTTCTCTATGAAGGTGAGCTAAGAAGGTTTACTTCTTCATAGTGCCAACTCACCTGTCTGATGGTTATCGCACGTCCTAATTTGACAGAATGGTTTATAAGAGTATACTTACTGTTTGTCAGATCATTCAGCAGTATATAAATAAAAGTTATGCTAAATGAATTAAACCAAGCATGTCAGATAATGAGGAATCTGTTGAAGAGCTGTTTTTCACTATCAAAACCATTCTTTAACTCGGTAAACTTGCTAACAGATGCATAAAAATCAATCACTGCAAAATAAAACTTATATTATTAAAGACATAAAATTTTATTGAAACTTATATGTACCTGTAAATATATTAATAAATAGAATGTATACTAAAGTTAAAAGTCTTCAATTTAAAAATTTATACTGAACATCTACAATCCAACAAAACTGAAATCTCTTAAAAACTAAGTTTGGTTTATAATTAAGTTTACTAATGAAACAAACTTGCTTATTAGTCTTTTCTGATATTTTTTACACTTACATATTTTGTAATCAATTTTTAAAAGCATATTTTATACTTAGGATATTTTTCATTGTGAAATGTGTGTGATTCCAATAATGCTAGTACTATTACTGTGACATAAGAATTTTTCAAGACTTTTAGGTTGATAATAAGTAACATGAGTTTCTAGCATAATTTCAAACAGTATTTATACTGAAGTAACAAAGATGTTGAAACTAACACAAAAAATATAATTGATACTTGAAACCATCAATACTTGGTGAAATTCCATAATTATAGAATTGAGGAAAAACAAGACCTAATGATGCTTTTGCTGGCAAAACCATGGTCATGAACAAATGATGTATTTGTGAAATGTACAGTTGTCTTGTTTTTTCTCAATTCTGTAACACATAAAAACAATTATCTGCAAATAGCAGTAGATTTCTTTATCTTAATTGTTAATTGGTTTCACTATATGAAGATCATGCTTTTCTTATCTTTTGACATTCTCTGAAGAGGTTATGAAGATGAGGGTAGAGATGTAGATTTTCAGAAAGCATTTGACAAGGGGCCACATTACAAGCTTGTTAAAAAGTATCTCTATAGGTATAGGGGATAGGTTGACTCATTGAATAGAACACTGGCTGGATGGAAGAAAGCAAAGAATAGTTCTAAGTGGGTTTTTTTTTCTTGCTGAATTATATGTCATAGGTGAAGTACCTTAGGGCTCAGTGTCAAGACCTTTGCATTTTTTTATTTACATCAGTGATATACATAAAGGAATAGTAAAAAAAATATGACAATTTTTTGATGATATTAAAGTTTTCAATGTTGCTACTTGCTGTGAGGAAGATGCTGCTGCTTTACAAAAATATTTGGTTATTTGGGATGTAACAATTTGAATTATGAGTATAATTTTTATGTGAATAACCTTAACAGTGTTATGGAAGAAAGGGATCTTGGTGTTCTAGTTTATAAGTCTATTAAACTTTCCAAGCTATGTACTATTGCTAGGGCAGGGCAAATATGATTTTAGATTGTATCCACAGAAATATGAATACAAGTCTAAAGAGGTTATATTTTAATTTTATTAATCATTGGTTAGACCAGATTTGAAATATTGCATTCAGTTTTCGATCCTTACCATAAGAAGGACATTGAATTGTTGCAACAAATTCTGAGGAGTTCCACTAGAATGATACCTCATATGGAAAGGTTGCCATACAAGGACAGGTTAAGGTCTCTGAAATTATTTTATCTTAAAAAATAAAAAGTTAGAGTGGATTTGAGTGTGGTATTTAAGATTATATATGGAATTGATGGTGTTGAGGCATCATTTTTTTTCAAACTTAATGGTTAGAATGGTATGGCTTAGGGGTGTAGTGAAGGGGAGGGAGCATAGTATTTCTACCCTCACAAAAAGTATTTCATTTGTCAGCAACCATCCGATTTTCAATGAAAATTTTTTGCCTGTCTTTTTGAGGAAATTTCTGGAGAAAAATAAAGAATTTCCTGTTTTAACAATATTTGGAAATGCTAATTATCTTTTTATTCAGTGTGTGCTATCTTGTTGGTAAAATTCAGTCATGCAGCCCCCACTACCCAAATATAGGGATTCTGCTTCATCCTTGGTAAGACTAGGGAACACAAATGTAAATTTTGGCAGGGTAGGAGTCATCTTCATCTACGATGGCTTTATTTTCTAACAGGATGGTTTACTTTTGGAATGAGTTGCCTTCTTATAGGATGAATGTAGTTAATTGTAAGGGAAGTATTGATAAATATTTGAATGATAAGGACTGACTTTGTGTATTAATTTTCATTTTAAAGTGTAGTTTAATGGGTGTGATGGCTTAGGTGGACAAACAGGTCCTTTGTTGTCCTGAAATTATATGTTACAAGCAAAAGTACCCATCCCCAGTGATGGGAAAAGTTAAAGTTAATTTTTCAATTTAAATTATTTCATGGACTTTAAAAAAGATTAATTGTGTTGCAATCTTGGTTTCACTTAGAGCCAAAGCTCTGAGTTACTTATATCGCCCACTGTGAAAAGTAACTGTTGAGCATTTCAGTCATGCTAAGAGTTGCTCAACAATAACACATGGTAAATCTACATTTTTATTCTTTAAGTTATATCACATTTTGATATGTGAATGATAGCGTGATTAATTTCTAACAATTTAGTGTAGAATATCCTGCTTGTGAAATAAAATTTGGCATCAACATTATTCATACCTTTTCTCCCATCATTTCAAAAGTGAATGTTGAGCTTTGCTTGCATGTGCAGCTTTTCAAATGGGAGACAGACACCACAGTTCATAATATATATAAGACATCTAGTTTGGAGCACAGGTTGGACATGTGGTAGAGCTCTGGATTTCAGAGCTGGTGAGCTAGGTTCAAATCTGTGTAATACCACAAAATATTTCCTGCGCCTTAAACTGTGGGTATGTTATAAGAGTGACAGTTAATCTCTTAACATAGTTGGAGCTGCTAACTGACTGCATTCCCACTGGTTGGTAGTTTAATATTATGAATGATGACAGATAGCTTAAGAAGTTTTGCAATAAATACAAAACACTTTTAAATTAAAATCATTTTCAGTTACAATCTGAATAAATTTTCAAGCTACATTAAAAGAATATTTTATAATAGATTGAGATATTAAACATTATGTTCAACTCAATTTGTGAGATTTTCTTAGGAATTATTGGAATGTTCTAACCATTTCTAGTTTATTTTATCATCAGGGAAGAAATTTGTGGACCATCAAGCTAGAATCTAGTATTGTTGCTATGGAAACAATAGATATTACTTACCTAGGAATTCAGCTGATCGTTATTGCACTGAGTAATGGACTTATACAACTTTATCAAGACAAATACTTGGTTGATGTAGTGCCAGCAGAGGACGTAGTAACAGGAATCAAATTTGGCCGCTATGGCAGAGAAGAGAACACTCTTATTATGACCACTCGAGGTTTGTGCTAACACTGAAAAAAATCATCTTTATATTTTTAAAAAACAAACATGATATTTTTGTTCACCTATTTGATACTTAGATTCATCAAAACAGTTTGTGCTAAGATGAAAAGAATCATCTTTTTATTTTGTAAAAAAGCTATTTTTGCTGACTTGTATTTGATACTTAGATTCATCAGATCAGTTTGTGCTAATATGGAAGAAAATTGTCAGTAAATTTTGAAAAAACAAACATGATGTTACCAATATTATCATTGAGTGCTGTCCTCTAAACTCCCACCTACCCCACAATCAATGTGGTTCACTGCATCTTCGTATGTAAATCATCATGTGCAACCCTCCACCAATAAGAGTGCAACACATCAACCTAATGCACATGGTTCCCTCTGTTCATTTCTACTTAATCATCACTTCTTGTTAGGCAGTGGTCTTGTGCAGACATATCATTTATCACAAATTTTTTATCTCTTTTCGAAGTAATGCTTTCCATTCTTACTACTTTTTTTCTACAGTTTCTTCAGTGTAGTTTGTGATCAAGAAAACTTACCTTTATTTTATTTTTTATTTTGCTCTTTCTCCCAGTCAATTATGAACTTGAAATTTAGTGTCATGACTTTAGCTACAGTTAGAACTACTTTGATTGTCGTGACACAGGCTTCAGGCATGGGGGTCTCAGCTGGGGATTCTTTGGCTATCATTTGCAGGAAGTTTTAATTTTATGTGTTATCCCTTTTTTCTCGACATTGTCTGGGATCTTCCTGACCCTGTAGTACCTATTCATGATTAGGAGGATTTTTACCGCCTTCTGTCAATGCCTGTAACTCTCCTGTGGAATCTGCTAGGTCTACCTCACCCTTTACGGATATGTTTTCTAGGTTTGTTACGTTTTTCTGTATCCCTAGTTTCATATGATCCTGTCTCTGAAAACTTCACATCGCCCCATCTTCCAGTTACTTTGTCTTCTCTCTTTCTCTTGAATTGAGGGATGATGCCAGTATGCCTTTTTGTCGGGCTGTTCATTTATGCTTTGGCTTACTTTCATGCCTTTGATCCCTTTCTTGACTTCCAGCAGCTGGAGTCATTTTTGCCTTTGTGTGTGTGTGGGGAGGGAGGCATATCCTGTGAATTCTGTATGTTTAAACCCAAACCCAATCTTCTTTCCTTTATCTTCACCTTACATATCACCTTTACACATATTTTCATGACCTGTGAATGGCCCACTTTCTTCATAGGTCTCTTTTTGGAGATAGTCCTGAATATTTGGAATCATGTATGGAATCTGCGAGGCAAAACTCATCCTTTCTTCCTTGGCTCCTCATTTGTCTCAGCCTGCTCCCGTACCTTACTCTATACCTGTTTCCTGTCCTTCACCCTCCCAGCCTTTGCCTGTTCCTTACACTAAGGGTCAGATAGTCTGTCATTTGACTCACAATCATACTCTTTGTTGACAACAATGGTGACTATCTGATGTCATTCCCAGTAGGGACACGTTTATCCAATTCTGTTCACCTATGGTTGGAGTTCACTCCCAACCTATTGATGATCAGAGTTTTGTCAGAGGTACGTTTTCTTTGTTTTCTCTACCCTCCTCCTTTGTCTTTGGCTCCAATAACCTTCCCATTTCCTCGGGGGCCCAGCATGGGTGCTCAACTCGCAATCTGCGGGTTGTGGGTTCGAATCCCTGTCACACCAAACATGCTCGCCTTTTCAGCCATTGTGATGTTCAGTCCTACTATTCATTGTTAAAAAGAGTTGGCGGTGGGTGGTAATGACTAGCTGCCTTCCCCCTTGTCTTACACTGCTAAATTAGGGATGGTTAGTGCAAATAGCCCTCGTGTAGCTTTGCACTACATGCAAAACAAATAACCAACCAATTTCCTTGGGATCCTGCGACCAGTCAGTTTCTATCCAAAGCTGTTCAGACTCTTCTCTCATTGCATGCTATTGAGCCTGTTAGCTAGCCTTCCCCAAGTTTTTACTCCAGGCTTCTTGTCCTCCCCAAGAACATTGGGGACTAGCCTCCTATAATCGATCTGTCCCACCTCAACCAATTTCTGGATCTTTTCCACTTCACCATGGCATCTGCTCCCACCCTTTGGTGGGCTTTTTCTGCAGGTCTGTGGATGACCAAGTTGGACATCTCGGATGCTTATCTCCACATTCCCATTTCTCACCAGTCCCGATGCTGTCTTTGGTCTGTCCACAAAAGGGTTGTATTTCAGTTTTGTGCCTTACCTTTCAGGCTTGCTTCAGCACTGTATGAGTGGTCAAAGCTTTTGCCCAACTCATGCAGGCTTGATGGTTGCACTTCCACCACTACATGGATTACTGGCTTCTATTAACTCCTTCTGAACTGGATTCTTCTCAACACACTCATATACTATTGACAGAAGCAGCTTGTGCTGTTTTTTTTAAATGGAGAAGCCTTTCCTGATTTCTATCCAATATTTTGTCCACTAGGGTGTGTTTTTTAACACATACCTCTGTCAGTCCCAACCTTCTCCATTTTGTGTGCATTCAATGGAGCTTTCAGTTCTCCACATCCTTTATTCTTCCTCTCTTTCTGCATGTGAGGTTCTATCACTTTTGGGGACTTGAGCTTCCATGGAAGCCCTATTCCCCTTGGGTCGTGCACTTATGCAATCTCTTTAGTGGACATTGCACAACCAGTAGAATCTTGTTTAGGATCCTGTGGACTCCTTAATTACTCTTCCTCCGTCTTTTTTTAATAATCTCCATTGGTGATTGAACAAGGACAACATTATGGCAGGGGTACCACTTCTTCCTCCTCATTCACATTTGCATTTGTTCACTGACGCTTCTCTCCGTGGTTGGGCCACATGGGTCAATCAGTAGGAGGCTTCCAGACAATTGTTTCAGTTAGAAATGTCATATCATGTCAACATGCTTTGGATCATTTTCTTTCTGTTGTATGGAACAGACTTTTCATGATCCATTCAGACAATTCCACCATTGTCTCTCATATCATTCATCAATCCCCAAGGAGGCACCCATTCTCATTCCCTTTGTGGTCAAACATTATACTACTTTATTGGGCCTATACACTGCAGCTATGTCTCATAGCATGTCATGTTTTGGGTGCTTTCAACTTTGTGGTGGATTTTCTTTCTCGACACAATTATATTTACCCCACGGAGTGGTTTCTCAACCCTCAGATTTTCCACTGGCTTTGCAATCACTAGGTGCTCCTCATCTAGATTATTTTGCCACTTTCCTCAACACCAAGTTACGTCTTTTTTATTCTCTGGTTCCTTATCCACAGGCCCTGGCAGTGGATGCTCTCAGTCAGGACTGGACAAACCAGTACCTTTATGCTTACCATCCTATCCAGCTCCTTCCCAGGGTGACTTCAGTCATCCTTTCCATTCTGTGTTAGGTCCTTCTGATTGCTCCTTACTGACTGGCATAACCTTGGTTTCCTCTTCTCCTTCAGCTCCAACTTATCCCTACCCCCATTACCTCTTCCTCTCACCCAATTCCTCCTCCATCAATCTCAGCCACTGGTCTTTCATCCCATCCACCCCTCACCCTCCGACTTCATACCTGGCATTTATTTGGTCCCTTGCAAGGATAGTTAAATTGTCCATGCATGTTACTTCCTTTTTATCCCAGTCCATTCACCATTGGTCATTAAACTGTAGGATTTCCCCTCTTCAATCCACTGTTCCTCTTGTTATGCATTTTCTTACCTTGGTTTTTGACCATGTGGTTTCTGTCTCTTTCATTACAGGTTATCAAGCAGCCTTGTCCAACAACTTATGTTTTTCTGGGTATCATGTTGTGTTTTTCTCTCTAACCATCTTCCTTTTATTGCATTTCTTCCAGATTTGTCAGTCTCCTCATTAGGTGGCTCATCACTCTCTCACACTCCCTCTATTTGAACCTTTGTTCTCCTGTTCTCTGTATCACCTATCCCTTAAAACTTATTTCTTACTACTTTTAACATGTGGACATTGTCATCTGATATCTTTGCCATTGATGTTTCATGTATTCTGTTCCATTTCAAATATGTTCTCCTTTATCTGGATCAATCTTTCCTGCCCAAAACTTCAGCAGCTTATAGAGGACATTATTCATTCATGCTGATATCCCTTCTCTCTGCTTCCCACCTTTATTCTCAATCTAATATGGATAGACTTCTATGTCACATCTATGCTCTTCTTTGTTATATTGCCCACGTGGCCTCCTTCCATGGTTTCTAATCCTGCCTTTTCATTCCCTGGAACCTTTCCTTCTTACATGACCTTTCCCCTTCTACCTTTACATCTTCCTTTGCATCTTCCTCCCTATCTCTTTCTTCCCACAACTTGTTGCAGATGTCATTGCATCAAATATGGCACCTTACTTTCCTTGGCATCTCACCTCTATCATCTGTTGGAGAAAATTCTTCAGTTGGGCATGTCGACAACACTTCATTCATTCATCTCCCACTACTTTCATCGAGTGGCTGTTTTTTCCTCATCAGGGTACTACTTTCTGACATCAGTTCAACTGAGACTTGGTAAGTTATCATTTTTATATCTTACTTTTGCTTACATTGGCATGTCCACTTTAGGTTTAGGATCTTGCTCAGTGGTAAGCATTCCCTCTCCAGGTATGCTACTTATCTATCCATTCCAAAAATCCACACTCTACAACCAGGGTATATTATCTGCCACCTAGTGACTCAGTTGTTCCACCTCCATGCAGTGGGTCCCAGAGGTTAATGTTGTGCGGTCCCAGCTCTGATTGTCCTATGGACTGTGGTAACTTGAGATCTAGATGTAATACATTAGCTACAGTCTCTGTGCAGTTCTATCTGGAGAATGATGTTGTGCGGGTTACACATGGCTACTCCTGATGCTCAACCTCAATGGGGTTGGGTCCTCGAGGATGATGTTGCTTGGGGTAATTTGCTGAGGGTTGTATGGGTCATCTCGCACGAAGTTGTCATCAGGTGAAGGCTAATCCCATCAATATCAATTAATACCCATGCCCAATAATACACACTGTCAAAATGGGGTGTTCAACAAGATTGCTAATAGGTTTTCCTCGTGGTATTTTGCTTCATCCACATGCCCATTCCAGAACATACTAACACATGGACTTTCATGGTTAAAGCAAAAAGGAATTCCTGCCATCCCTTTGACTGAATAAATCAGGGGCAGTCTGCTTTTCAAAATATGGTTTTTGTGGTCACCCATTGCACTGTCTGCAGTGTTGGAATTCCTCCAGACTCTCCACAGCATTTCTCCCCCAATTTATTCTAGTGGAGTATGACAGCCCTTGCCATTTTCCAGTTCCTAGCTGCTGGGGTGGTAGACCATGGAGGCAACATACTAAACGTGTTCACTTCCATCAAGTAGAGAGTAGGCAGTCGTGTTCTGCTGGTGCAAATGGCATAGAACCTCCATTTGTGAATACCATATCTGTGCAATTGGGTCCCAGAGGTTGATGTTGCACACCCATGTGCTCCAGCTTCTGTGAGGTCATATCCAGGAGATGATGTTGCATATATGTCACAATAGTATATTCCATAAATTTGAGTACATCTGCTACATTGCAGTTCACTCCTCTGATTAGGATCTCTTGTCATACTATCGACTGGATGTCAGTTCCCAATGAGTGTTTTTGGATTAGAGCTGGATCAATCAATGTAAATCTTCAAACATGTGTTGGTCTCGATTCCTCATCCTACCTCAGTCATGGGTTTGTGCCTCATGCTTTCCACCTCCATGTGGTTAGTTCCAGAGGTTGATGTTGCATGAATCTGGTTTGATTCACCCCACATCTGTGGTAGATTGAGATGTCAAGGTGTCAACTGGTCATCCATGTGCTCCAGCTTCTGTGTGGTCATATCCGGAAGATGATGTTGTGCAGGATGAATGTTGTTCCTCTGGCATTCCATCTCGGGGAGGTTCACTATCTGAGGTAGATGTTGCACAGAATGGAATCAGTTCAATTGGTTTTGGATTTGAAGGGAACTGCCACATTGGCCCTTCCTACCATCATTTGGATGTTGGGTTTCCGGATGACTGGTGTTAATTCTGGATTTGCACACATGTACCCTGTTTGAGTCGACCAGAATGGAAATTTTCTCCTTCCATTCTACTAAATTTGAGGTGAAGATGGTGTGGACCCTCCTTCTACCACAGGTCAGATTGCGTATGCCCTATCCCGCCTAGTTTTGGACTGGAGTTGACCTGCCAAGTACAGTCTGATGTGCCCTAGCCACTCTACACCAAGGTGAACATCCATTTTAGCTTTCCCCACCATTGATCTGTGGCTGGGGACCTTACATTCATTTTTATCCTGCGCTATGATTCCAGTGTTATCAATGGGATGTGGGGTCAGAACCAGCCAGATTTTTCTCTACTTCATTATATGTGCTCCTCCCAATTTTAGCCAGTTTATGCGACACCTACTAGCACACTGGATGAAAAATATACTTGGTAGAGAAGTGGTGTAGTCTCCCACGTGTGTTCCTCTCCCAGCACTCCATGGGTGTTCTTAGGACACTTTCAAAGGATTCTTATCTATATCCTTTGCAATGGTCCCTCCATTTTTCAATGTGGGATTCTAGCTATTATGTGAGAAGAGGTTTGGTATTGTATCGGAAATTATAATTTTCCTACACTTAAATATATTTCCAATAGTTACTTACCTCCTCTCACACTTCCTCCCCACTTAAAACCAGTGGTTACTTTCTGCCTTTCTCGAAGTAATGTTCAGGTAGAATCAAATAGAGGGAGTCACATGTGTTTGGAGGGTGTATTGCGCTCCTATTGATGGAGGGTTGTCGCATGATAATTTACATGTGAAGATGCAGTGAACTACATTGATCATGGAGTAGGTGAGAGTTTCAAGGCTTGAGACATGCAAAAACATTTACACATAGAGGGCAGCACTGACTGAGAATAGCCATTATGTGAGTAGAGGTGAGGTACTGCATTGGAAATATATTTTAAGTGTAGGAAAATAATAACTTTTGTTGAATTTAATTTTGACACTAAGATTCATCAGATAACTTTGTACTAATATAGAAAACTTGTCTTTAAGTTTTGAAAAACAAATGATGTTTTGTTGACTTTTATTTGATACTTAGATTCACCAAATCAGTTATATCTGTACAAGATGAATATATATGGTGTTGGAAAAACTAATTCAACATGCTAAAATACAGACTTCAGCATTTTCCTTGTAATACAGAGATGAGAATTTCTTGGCAATTTGCAGTTACTTTTTTAGATATGCTACTAGCCACTTACAAGATTACTTCAGCTCGTATGAGAAAAACTTGGAGTATTGGAGGAGTTGAGATGGATGCTGAATACAAAATGTATATATGCCATAGAAAAGCTTTGTTATTAGAATTGAAAGTAAACACTGGAGTCTTAAAGTCTGCTTGACTAATAGCGTATAGTCTTTCTAAATCAGGCTTGTCTCTGCTCTGTAAATCAGCATGACATTAAAACTAGCTCTTATGTGTTGTTGTCAGTTGCATTTCAAAATGAGTATACTTTAGAAAGTTTGTGATGAAAATGCATAAAATGTATAGGTTTATTTTAAATTGATGGTCCTTATCTGGAAAGATACCAAATTGAAAGAATAATCTCCTTGAAAGAATTAAGTGTCTTATTTTGGAAAGTTGGTGTTTTTTCTACTGCTATTAGGACACAAATATAGGAAATATACAATATAGTAGCAATAAATATTAATTCTATATGAACGTCTAAATATTATGTCCAAATACACTAGATTTCCTTTTAAAATATTTCATTTTCTATCCTCCTGCTACATCATGGTGTCTATCATGGACTTGGCTGTGCCTTCCTTTAACCTCCAGATTTTTTCAGCCTGATCTATTCTCATCTCTGGTAATAAAACATACTTGGATAACAAAAATGATTATGAGGTTGTACTTTTTCAAACAGTTACATGACAAACTCATATTAGTAGAAGTAAATTAGGATTCTTAAGTTTTTTTCAGTAGTATCTTTTATTAAAAATAACACTTGGAAAACTGTTCTAACAATTGAATTTAATACATGTCAATTTCAGGGTTGAATACAGCCTGTTATCAAGAGTGTTATCATTATCTGTAACAATAATGGATATCATCCATTCTACAAAATTCTGAGTTGAACTCATATTGTGTTAGAGCAGATTAGAAACAATACATCTAACAAGTATTTTTATTGAAAAATTATACATATTTTTATCCACTTGAATGTAATTTTATAGTAAAGCTTGCTTATTTTAGGTGGTGGGCTGATAATAAAGATTCTAAAGCGAACAGCAAAGTTTGACCCTAAAAACCTTACTCCAGGGCCACCCGCAGCTCAACACATGAAGCTCAGTGTTCCTAAGAAAACTAAGTTGTTTGTAGATCAAACCATGCATGAAAGAGAAAATGCAGTGAGTGAGTATGGCCCAGTTTCATTTCTTAAATATGATTTCTCTTGCAAAAAACAAATTGCAAAATTAAATAAACTTTCATTAAACATATTTCCAATAAACAAAATCAAAATCTGAAGGTAATAATTTGTTCTATGAAGAAATGTGTAGATGAATGGTATATCCACAGAAACTGGTACTCTTTGTTATTTTTACTCAATTTGCCTCTCAGTTTTTGTCTTTCTGTATTAAACCATTTTGAAATAATTCAATTAATTTTCACGTTTTTGGAAAACATATCTAAAGTTTAGTCTTAACTTTACTGTCACCCATATTCAGAAGCTGTGTTTCACCAACTAAAAGCCAAAGCTTGATAATTATATAAGATAGGTTTACATTTTTATATAATGTAGTTTGTAGTGTGATTCAGAAAAACCCAAAAGCTGTAAGATCTCAAACTCAACAGATCTTACAGCTTTTGGATTCTTCTGAACCACATTTTACATAATATTGTGATTCAGAAGAACCCAAAAGCTGTAAGATCTTATACGCAATAATGTGATTCAAAAAAATCCAAAAGCTGTAAGATCGTAAACTCAACAATGTGGTTCAGAAGAATCCAAAAGCTGTAAGATCTTAAACTTAACAATGTGGTTCAGAAGAATCCAAAAGCTTTGTTGAGTTTAAGATCTTACAGCTTTTGGATTCTTCTGAACCACATTGTTGAGTTTAAGATCTTACGATCTTACAGCTTTTGGATTCTTCTGAACCACAACAACGTTGAGTTTAATTTGGATTCTTCTGAACCCGCTGTAAGATCTTAAACTCAACAATGTGGTTCAGAAGAATCCAAAAGTTGTAAGATCTTAAACTCAACAATGTGGTTCAGAAGAATCCAAAAGCTGTAAGGTCTTATACACAATAATGTGATTCAGAAGAACCCAAAAGCTGTAAAAAATCTTGGACACGATAACATGATTCAGAAGAATCTAAAAGCTGTAAAAATCTGAAACATAATAACGTGATTCAGAAGAATCTAAATGGTTTGAAATCTTAGACATAGTACATGATTCAGAAGAACCCATACATAAAATTAGTGAAATCTAGTATTATATTCGAAGATACAAATTATAACAGTGAACAAGATCAGTGTGATTCCTTATATTTCTTTAAGTTCTAAGAATTATACCATAAAAATGTTTTAGTTTCCTTTGTTCTGCAAAACTGGTGGTGGAAGGTGTTTACTTTAACCAATGTCTGAAAACATATGTTTAAAGGTTTACCAGTTATAGCTAAGAAAATTAGTGGAGTATATGCAAAGTAATTCTAAGACACATGCTTTATGATATTAACGAAAAGTGAACATTTCAAATGTCTAGGAATGCATAGAAGTTTCCAGCATGACTTGTACCGTCTGCGACTCAACACAGCTAGATCTTATGTTAAAGTTCTTACATCAAGTTTAACTCCTGTTTCTACTGGAGGGAGTGACCCTCTGAAGCTTTCAGCTCAAGTTAGTCTTTGTCATCTATTTATAACTTGCCAACATTATTCTGTACTGTAAAGAATCTTGTTAGTATTGCCTAACAAATAGTCTATCAGTTTTGTTTGTCATACTAAGTTAGTCTATTGAGTGGTTTACAAAAATATTTTTTAAATTAACTTTTAAAAGTAACATATTTTTCGGTGTATAAGATGCACTTTTTTACCCCAAAATTTGATGTCAAAATCTG